CCCCGTCAGGACGGGGTTGGTTCATTCGATTTTCACGAATTATCGATTCATCATCCACTTCGTTCTTATATTTCTCTTCCTTCTCATCGTCCGCCATTTTCCTTCGTCCCTTGGTTTCCTTCGTTATTTCCTTCCGACTTAAGCCGCCATCAGCGTTTTATGAAATTTTCCGTAATATTTGCGAGATCTTGGAACAACGACGTGGAATTGCTCTTAAGGGACATCGTTTCATAGAATTGAATCTGTCCAATTTCATTCGCCGCCTCCTCTTAGAAACATTTAAATCGCGTGTATTATACGAATGACCGTCCTAGCGTCGTTCTTCCGCGAAAAGGGTTAATTGTTTGCTGTCGAATGCGTACGGAGATGCGGAAAACAATGGGAGCACGTTTCTGAGAAAAATATTGAGAGAAAGTAACAGGATGTAAATTTGCTACAATGGTGTATCTCATTATTTATAATGCGTGTAACTAAAATCATTCAGTAAAATAGAATTCCATTTGCTTAAATTAGTTTATTCACCCACTGATTTTTGCCAGACGATCTATTCAATTGAATAAATGATAAAGTTTCCCTTTTTATCAAAAGTGTGATCATTATGATTGTCCTTTCGTGTACTTCTTTTGATTATGTACACTATTTGATCGTGTACTTCTTTTTTATGTATGTATAAAAATGAAGAGCTATTTCAGTTTGAAAGGTTCATTTTTTCCTTTTTCATTTCATTCGATTCGATTTTACCTAAGAACAAAGTAACATCAATGAATGGATAATGATACGAACAAATAAAACGCAAGTGGATGTCAATGGATGAAACAGATGATATATTTCAATAGATATTATTAAGATACAATTATTTGGTTTTGATATTCAATATAACTTTTCTCTCTGAGGAAATACATAGAAACAAATACATAGAATTGACTGTCAACAATGTACAACAAGAGATAATTATTTTCTAAATCGTACATTCCAAATTCTCTTATATTTTCAAAATGACATAAATCTCGCTAACTTGATGATTTATAACAAATTTTCAAAATCGAAACAAGAGAGAAACGCGAAATATGAAAGAGGCGTGTAAAGTGGAGCGCAGAGGCCAGTTCTTGCGCCACCATTTACAAGTGCACTGTCGATCCCCGCTTTGATTCTCGAATCCCCGACACTCCCGTGATTTCCAATAAAAACCGCCGAGCAAAGAGGGTGGTGTTCTCAGCGAGGATCGCCTGCCTCGATTTCCATGCAACGCCGCGTCCGTGAACGTTCGATCGGCGATTCTTCTTTCGTAAAATCTCCGCGAATCAGCCGGGTGATCGACGAGGCACGCGAAAGACCGACCGATCGATCCGAAAGATTCAGCCGGCAGCCAGAAGACTGATAGCTAGGAATCGCTTTGCAGGGTTATCGCTCGTCGAAAGAAGGAACGAACGCGTTATATCCATGAATCGTTCCAGCATCGATGGAAAGCTGGTGATTTTCTGAAAAAAAGAAGGCAAGAATGAGGGAATATGTTGAAACCCACGTATGAGTTTGTGTGCGCGTGTGTATGGTACAGGGTGGTCCATTCAAGTGTGGCTCCCTTTAAACTTATGTAACTTATGAGTAGAGACGAGTGTGTATAAATGCATACAGTTTAGTTAGAAATTTCAAGTTTAACTTCAATTTTCGGCACCCAAGATTTATTCAAGGAACGTATTTCTTTCTCAATTACGCGCAGATAATTTGTGTGCAGAAAAAGATTGACGATCTGAAAGATCCCGTGAGAGGAGAATCTTAACCTCGATACCGTTCCAATTACATAGAAAATATTTTTTGTACCATCGCAATACAATTTTTATTTTCGTATTCACTTGAAAGGAAGAAAGGAAGAAAGAAAGAAATCGAAATCCACATAAAAATGATTGTTTAGAATCACGCGCACGTCATTAACATGAAATGTGTATTGTGGCAAACGTACAATAATGCCGGAACATGGTGAAAAATATCGATACGTAGGTATACGAAATTTCGAATCCTTTGATCTGCGCTAATAACGCAACACGATAGATCGTCAAAAAATTGACGGTCTCGAATGGAAACATCCTGTACATCCGTGTGCACGTGTCGAGTACGTTGCATCAGTGTGGAGGAGTCCTGAGGGGCCGACGCTGCGGCCCTAGGGCAAGCAACCATACGGACGTCCGGACGGCAACGGCACGTCACGGAAACGCTTTCCTCGTCTGTTGGAAGTGCGAAGTGGAAGAATTAAATCGTATTTCAACGTCAATGCCGCGGAAGCAGCCGGCAGAGTGGGATAGCTTTGGGAATACTCAGTCACGAGCGGAAATCCGAACTCCTGTGCAGTCGTGGAACGCAATTTAACTTTTAGTCGCTCGTGAGGAACCGTCGGTTTTCATGCTCCTCGGCCTTCTACCGGTTTCCTCTTCTTTCATTCTCTCTTTCTCTCTCTCTCTCTCTCTCACACACACACACATACGTATATTGTCTTTTGTTGAACGTTGTTGGATATCAGGTGAGAGGGACCAGGTACCTAGAGATGACGAGCGGAAGAGATAAACGTTTATCGCTGTCTTTCCGTCTTTTCGAAACTTTCATTCTCTCTTCTGGTTCTCCACGTGACCCCTTACGTTTAACTGCTTCTCGTCGGTCCTGGATGTTTAACATCGCACGGAGAATAGCTCCCCGGGCGAGACTCAACTCCGGGTACGCGCCTACTCCTTCGAATTATAATTTCGTTACGCTTCTTTCGCCGAAGATCCGTTGGATTTGAACACTTTCATGGCCTGCGTGAAATAAACGAGTTACACTTTGATCACTGGGTCAAGTTTTATGAAGAAGTTAGAAAATGTGAAATTTTTCTTAAGTATGCATAAAGAGACACGTGAATGTCTGTGATGAAGAATTCACAATGCAATAAAGACATAAGCGTTTATTAAAATATTCTATGAAAGATTATTGAAACCTCTAACAACGCACGTTCATCATGAGTGTGATTAATAATTATTCAAAGATACTCTTGAGTATAAATTAAAACGTTATTGATCATTTAATCAGCATCATTGCACGATTCGTTGGTAATTTATTACGATACGTGTTTCCTCGTTTATTAAAGAACAATTTAACAGAGGATTGGCGTTCAAATGTATTGCGAAAAGATTTTAAGAAGTGTAGGTTCCCTTTTTGAGAATGTTTCTGCCAGATACGAGTTAATACTAAAATCCCATGAGACTGAAACGAGAATTTTCATGGAACAAGCACTTGTAATCTCGAAGATCCGACAGTCGACAACGGTCTTCGAGTCGTCTCGCGTCGTAGACTTTAGTTGGTGTAACGTGCGAACTTGAGAACATGCTTGCACGAGCTTATCGCTCCTCAAATCCCCGACGATTCCGCCTTCGATCTTGTTACGAATCTTGAAATCATTGGGAACACAATTATAAAGTGGATAATCTTGTCCTCTTAGTCTAAATGATGGAGAGCTTTCGTTCCAGAAAATAACGTTTCCAACTATAATTGTGTGAATATTAAGTAACAAGATCTTACGCACGGATGAGCTCCTTATTATTGTATCGTCAATTTACTGAAAGACTAACAACCTGATACCTAAATCTGTAATTGCAAAAAAAAAGAGAAGGAAAATTGCAAAAAGGGATCTATAATTGCAAAATCTAAAATCTGATTCAACCTTGTACTAAATGTTCAACCTCTGTAATATTGGAAAAAATTTGCCAATAGAGCAAATTTTAATCGTGACTAACGATATTATAATTCGATACATCTAATATTTCATACAAATTTATTTCATATATAAGATTTCAGAATATTCGAATATAAAGAATATAAAAAAAAGGTCTGAAAAATTGGAGAAAAGCTGTCTCCTTTTGGTTCCCTAAAATTCAGCGAGCCCCTGTCGATAAATCTGAGCAATTCCGGAAGTTAAGTTTGAAAAATTCTTCTTTCAAAAGTATCGTGCAATAAGAAATAATCATTTGCTACAAAGAGACCGATGGTTTCAGCTTCGACGTCCGTGGTCGTCGCCAGTTCAACAACGCTCTCCTCTGGTCGTCGCCGAAGGCACTGGGACCAAGAGCTTTTTTTATCGCAGCGTCGAATCCTGCCCACCTCAGCATCGATCGGCTAGAGACTAAGGACGAAGGGATCTATCGGTGTCGAGTGGACTTCAAGAATTCGCCGACGAGGAAGCAGAAAATGAATCTGACTGTTATAGGTGAGTAGCGCGCCTTATCAGAAATTACATCTACGATCTTATAAATCCGGTAATGCAAATCTGTATTATAATGTAATGAGTAATTCATGAAGAAAGTTTCTTAGCATCTGCAATAATAATTTTTCAATGCCAATTGAGTTCCAAATTATATTGCTAATTACACAACTTAACTATGGGGCGAAATGGGCGAAATTTTCTCATTCGAAAAAATTGTATTTTCATTCTCGTGTATGTCCTCTTGATCTTCGCCTCCCTAAATTTGCACAAAAATCCGGTGTAGCCAGGAGTACCAATCATCAGTGGCCTATCCATCGCTCGTAAAATCGTTCCGTATTTCTAGCGACGAGAAGAACAATTAAATATCCACCGATGGATATAAATAAATCGCTGAAACGGAGCGAGACCCGCGCAATTTACCGTTTCACGCTCGCGCAAATTCGAACGCTATGCACCGGCCCGGCTGCTTTTTACCCCGTTCGTTTCCCCCGGTTTCCGCGTAATCGTCGACAAAAGAGTATTCACCGAATGGTAAATCACTCGCATCAGCGGAACTCAATTGGCCCTAATCAATCTTTCACGAGTAAATCACGCCGGCACGCAGGCGGTGCGACAGATCAGCCATTCTCAAGCGGCGGACAAATAATCAATCCGCATTTCCGCTGATTCAATCATGCTCCATCTGTGTGTATTCGTGTGCGTACATACGTATATATATATAT